CATAGCAAAAGCTCAAAGAAAAAAAAACAGAGCTTTGTAACTTTCTCTCTTATTTCGCTTAAAGATTTTGGTTACATCAAGATGTTATTTATAGCTAAGATATAAAACCCTAAATCAGCTCACTAGCTGTCAGTCAATGACTCGAAATTGCTAAGGGTGGTGCTAAATCGATAGTACCAAACCATACACATGAAGCTGGCATAACTCTTTTTTATCTTTTGTAAAACTCATCTTTGTGACCGTTGGAGGAGAAGATAAGATTGCTGACTTGGGCTTCTCCTTTGACTTGGGCGTCTCTTCAGTTGGGCCAACATCTTTCTCATTTACTAAACTCTGCGTTTTGATCTGTTTTGAATTCAAACTCGTGTTCTGTTTGGAATCCAAGGTCGTGATCATGTTCTGTTGCTCAATAATGGTTACCAAAATAAGATTTTAGTCAGAAGCTTGGATAAAAGCAAATTTGCAATATGTCATATTTTAAGATAAATAAATGAAATTCCTTGGTTTCTACATCTACCCATTTGAGTTTTAAATTTCCATTCTCTCATATATCTCCTCACATGAATATTTCAGAGGAAGCATGTTTGTGCGTGAGAGATTTTGGTCCGACGAGCTCGAATGCACTGATATCAATGCTACGAGATTTATAGAACAAAGAAATTTTGTCTTATATGTTTTGTTAATGGTCTTGAAGGAACTCGATTCTCTTTTTTCAATTTGTTTGGCACGACCTCGTATATTGTGGCAACTATGAAAAAAATTAAAAATGGATCAGTTGGATTTTTATGGGATTGAGATACTGTATGTAGTTACCAAAACAAAATTTGATTCAAAAGCTTGGATAAAAGCAAATTTGCAATATGTTGTATTTTAAGATAAAAAAATGAAGTTCCTTGGTTTCTACATCTATCCATTTGAGTATTCCAGAGATAAATTGGCTAATGTGTAAAACAAGTTCATTTTAGAAAATAGACTTATCCTCTTGGAATATGTGGTGTGTTTTGGTTAATTAGAGGTGCAAATGAAGTTTCAAAGTTTCATGGTCGTGAAGCTTTTTGCGATCTCATGTACACTATTGAATCGGCTATTTTCATTAGAAAATCGGTAACATAAGGACTATGAGATTAGAATTTTTGCAACAAATAACCAAGATCTTGTGGAGTTAGAGCTGGTCCTAGATCAAATGTAGGTCACTATAAATGTAATAAGTGAAAATAATTTTGTTTTTGGAAAATTAGGGCTTGAACCCGAGACACTCAAGGCAATAAGAGAAATCTTTACCACCCAACTAAAAAAGGTTTTGTAAAAAATGATGTCTAAATAAAAAATATTACCATAATGCCTAAAGTGGATTGATTTTATATCCAGGGAGGAGGCGAGATGTGTATCCGAATGTCGTGACACATGGACTATCATCGAGGATTTGCCTTCGTCGGAGGAGAGGTACGCGGAGGGAGCTCGGTTCGTAGACAGGTGGCGCCATGCTCTCTACCGAGGCTCTACCAGACCATCGTCTCTCCTAAAGTTTGTTAAAGTGTTTGTTGGCATTGAGCCACGAATCCCATATCAGGGTCAAGGCAAAGACAAACAATGGGGAGAAGCACCACCGCAACTAGGGGTACAAGCACCATCGGAACTGAACGACGAAACACCACCAGCCCAATCA